TAGATGAACCCCAGAAGACATGGCTCCCAGGCTCTCTATTAACCCAGAACTAAAACCATTCCCGAAGTCACCTCTTCAGACAAAGATTAGACCAGACTATAAAACCTAAAATAACACTAGTAAAGAGTGTGTTTCTTAGTCCAAGTAGACACACGAGACTAAATGGGCAGCTGTTGTCCAGAGGCAGGATGAAACGACAGAAAAAGATAGGAGCTGATTGAATGGACATGGGAAACGTGGGTGGAAAGGGGTAGTGGGCTGTCACATTATAGGAATTGCAACTAGGGTCACATAACCATATATGTATAAATTTTTGTATGAGAAATTAACTTGAGCTGTAAACTTTCACCTAAACAAGATTTAAAAAAAGAACACAGCATCAGGGTTGAAGGAAGACTCATTAACAATCTGCGTTATGCAGATGACACAACCTTGCTTGCTGAAAGTGAAGAGGACTTGAAGCACTTACTGATTAAGAGCAAAGATCACAACCTTCAATATGGATTACACCTCAACATAAAGAAAACAAAAATCCTCACAACTGAACCAATAAGCAATATCATGATAAATGAAGAAAGACTGAAGTTGTCAGGATTTCATCTTACTTGGATCCATAATCAACACCCATGAAAGCAGCAGTCAAGAAACCAAACGATGTATTGCACCGGGCAAATCTGCTGCAAAACACCTCTTTAAAGTGTTAAAAAGCAAAGATGTTGTCTTAGTCATCTAGTGCTTCTATAACAGAAATACCACAAGTGGCTGGCTTTAACAAAGAGAAGTTTATTCTCTCACAGTCCAGTAGGCTAGAAGTCCAAATTCAGGGCGCAGGCTCCAGAGGAAGGATTTCTTTCTCTGTCAGCTCTGGAGGAAGTTCCTTGTCATCAGTCTTCCCTTGGTCTGGGAGCATCTCAGCGCAGGAATCTCAGGTCCAAAGGACGTGCTCTGCTCCTGGCGCAGCTTTCTTGGTGGTATGAGGTCCCCATGTCTCTCTGTTCACTTCTCTCTTTTATATCTCAAAAGAGATTGGCTTAAGACACTGTCTAATCTTGTAGACCTCATCAATATAACTGCCACTAATCCATCTCGTTACATCATAGTGATAGGATTTACAACACATAGGGAAATCACATCAGATGACAAAATGGAAGACAATCATACAATACCGGGAATCATGACCTAGCCAAGTTGACAGATACTTTTGGGGGACACAATTCTATCTATGACAGATGTCATTTTAAGGATTAAGTGACGCCCGACCCAAGCCATGGTGTTTTCAATCACCTCATATGCATACAAAAGCTGGGCAATGAATAAGGGAGGCCTAAGAAGAATTGACGCCTTTGAATTATGGTGTTGGTGAAGAATATTGAATATACCATGAACTGCCAAAAGAACGAACAAATCTGTCCTGGACAAAGTAAAGGCAGAATGCGCCTTAGAAGCAAGGATGGTAAGACTTCGTCTCACATACTTTGGACATGTCAGGAGGAATCAGTCCCTGGAGAAGGACGTCATGCTTGGTAAAGTAGAGGGTCAGTGTAAAGAGCAAGACCTTCAACAAGATGGGTTGACACAGTAGCTGCAGCATTTGGGCTAAAGCATAACAAAGACTGTGGGGATGGCGCAGGACCAGGCAGTGTTTCATCCTGTTGTACACAAGGTCGTTATGAGTCAGAACTGACTCAAAGGCACTTACGACAACAACAATAACACAAAGCAAGTAGTCTGAGTTAAGATGGCAGACTATAGACATGAAATAGATAAAAGTTCATTGGCTTTTACAGTCTCCAACCCATGGCTTTGTCCTCATTTACATAGTTGTCCTAAGTTCCTGAAATAAACACCCATAGACACCAAAAAAAAAAAAAGCCAACCTGTGGAGCATATGTTTGAGCAGAGAGAGATACACCATAGGTTAGAAGCATAATGTATTAATTTCCTTGTTGCTATAACAAATCACCACAAACTTAGTGACTTAAAAATAACACAGATTTATTCTCTTATCATTCGGGAGGCCAGAAGTTTAAACTAGGCCCACAGGGCTGTGTTCCATCTGGAAGCTCTAGGGGAGAATCCGTTTTCTTGCCTTGTCCATCTTCCAGAGCCTGCCTACCTTCCTTGGTTCTTGGCCCCTCCTTCCTTTTGCAAAGCCAGCAGCTTAGAATCTCTTTTCTGACACCTGATTCCATCCTTACGTCTTCTTCTCTAACTTTGGCCTTCCTGCCTCCCTCTTATAAAGATCTTTGTGATTACGTCATTGGGGCCACCCACATAATCCAGGATAATCACCTAATCTCAAATCCTAAACTAAACCACATCTTCAAAAGTCCCTTTTGCATAGAATGTAAGATATTCACAGGTTCCAAGGATTAGAACGTGGACATCTTTGGTGATCATTTTTAGCCTACCACAGATAGTAAGTAAGAAAAGTGTTCACGTAAGAAGATGTTAAGTGCTGTGGAGAAGGTGACCCAGAGTGTGAGTATGTGGGGAGACGGAAGACAGCTGTTTGAACTCGGGTGGGCAGGGCGGGCCTCGTTGAGAAGGTGACTTTTGAGGAAAGATTTGAAGGACATGAAGGAATTAGCCATGAGGATGTCTGGGATAATCTTTCCAGGCGGTGGAACATCCAGTGCAGCTACACCACGGCAGAGCTGTGTCTGTGTCTTGGGAGCAGCAAGGAGGCCAGTGTGGCTGCAGCAGGGTCATTGAGATGATGTCAGAGGTGCTACCAGACCATGTAGGGACTGAGGATATTGGAAAAGTTTTGACTTTTACTCTGGGTGAGATGGGATATTACAAAACAGTTTTGAGCAAAAGAGAGAGATGGTCGACTTCTCTTTTAAAAGGATCACTGTGGAGGCTGTCTGAGAATAGAATTGAAAGGTGAGGGGTGAGCGAGACAGTAGGAAAACAGTAGGAATTTAGGACAGTATTCAAGATGTTGATTGCTTTGCCTGAGTGTGAGCAATGAAAATTGTGGGAAGTGATTGGATTCTGGCTATATTTTTTAAATGGATTTTACAAGATGTTCTAATGGATTGAATCTGAGGTACAAGAAAGAGAAGAGTCAATGAGGACACTAAATATTTTGGACTTGCAAATCGAGTCAGTGGAGATGGGGAAGACTCTGGAAGGAGCATATTGAAGAGGGATGTAGTTTAAGAAATACTGAGTCTGAGATGTCTATTAGAAATGCAGGTGAGGTTGTCAGGTTGACAGTTGGATATACCGGTCTGGATATTAGTAGAAATCTTGATTAGAGAAATAAATGTGGGAGGTGACACCACATAAATGGTATTTAAAGCCTTGAGAATGGATGAGACCTCCAAAGAGTGATTAGCTGTAGAAGAAAAAAGAACAAGGACTGAACCCTGGGCCCTCTAGTGCTAATCAATCTGATCACACTACACACCAAAAGCAGACTGCGGAGCTCTGGCACCGACTCCATGGCATTTAACAACAATAACAAAGTTGTTATAAAAACATATCTCTAAAGACAAAGCATGGCAACTGGTTGGGACTTTTTTAATATTTCTAATATAGGTAACAAAACATATGTTGGTTAATATTTGTATACACTACTTATTAAAGCATGTGAATACATTGTGTTTCCTGAGACACTCTCTATTTTGATCTGTCTGTGATCTACATAGATTAATTCATGGGTATGCTATAAGGATAATTATAGTTTGCTTCAACCCCATAGTCACACAAACGTTATTCTTAGATGAAGTGAATCCAGTAACACTACCTGCTTTGTAAAGCCAGCTGAAGGTTAGTTTTATTTGTGAGAAGTAGCCAAAACCCTTCTCTGCCTTGGACTCCGGACTCTTTGGGGTGTGTAATTATCAAAATGGAAAATAATGAAACAAACAAACAAAAAAAGATAATGAAACAAAACTGCCTGTAAGTGAACCCCTATCTGAAGCCTTCAGTCACCAGTTTCCTGTCCTTGACGGTTTCCATTGTCTGTCATTGAGATCTGTGGGATAAGTTTCTTTCTAGAAGCCTATGGGGAAGAAGACTCTGGGGGAGAAGCCTAAAGTAAGAGAGTGAGAAGAGAAGCGTCCAGCTCAGGGAGCAAGATTCTAGAAAAGGAAGAAGAGTGGACTGAGAGTCAAGCAAGTTCTCTCTGTCTCTCTCTCTCCCTCTCTCTGTCTGGTTCTCTAGAGAAGTAAAACCAGTGAAATATATATGTATGTATATATAGAGAGAGATTTATCTCAAGGAAAATGGCTCACAGTTGTAGAGGCTGGCAAATCCCAAGTCTTTGGGTCAAGTATCAGGCTGGAGGTTTCTCCCGACCCACGTAGCTGCAGATATGCAGGTCAGATGGCAGGCTGCTGGCTCACAAGCTGTGGAGGCTGCAGAATCCTAAGATTGGCGGGCAATATGGCAGGCCACTGGCTCAAGTCCCAAGAACTGGAGGTCAGATGATGACGAGCTGGATGCAGGATGTGAGCAAGCTTTACTAGAAAGTCCATATACATATTGGATGCAGATCACCACCCGCCAGGAAACTCCCCCTTACAACTGATTTGCCGATCACATCAGATCACATAGAGGCTGACTACACCATTACATAACTCTCAAACTACATTATTACATAACTGCCAAACCACTGAGACTCATGGCCCAGCCAAACTGACACACAACCTTAACCAACACGCTGTGTGTGTGTCTGCGTGTGTAAGCCAGCACTTGGGGAGACAGTGGGCAAGAGTATCCTGTGGCAGAGGAGGAGGCTGAGGAAAGGTTCCCAGCGTCTCTAGGTTTGGATTTCAGGATCTCAGCACTGAGGGCCGTGTCTGGGATTCGGAAGACGACAAAGGGGGTGTGGGCGTGGCATAGTGCAAACGAGCACACGGGAGTCATCGAGGTAGGGTTTTTTCATAAGTTTCACTTTTCTTTTGCAATGTCTTTCAGGGTTATTCTGCCTGCAAACCGATGACACTCTCCAATGTCGATTTTCATCGCGTATCCGGTTCTAGAGGAGTCCATCAGAGTTAGAGGAAGTTTCCTTGCACGAAGGAGCCAAAAGAGAGCCAACGCTCTCCCCTGACTCCGTGGGTGCTTAGGCGCCGAATTGCGGTGACCCGAACCCTCCTCCTGCACCTCTCAGAGGTCCTGGTGGGTGACGTGGGGTCGGGAGAGTAACTACCTCTTGGGAGGGAGGAAGAGAGGATCGTCCTTGTTGGGGACGTGGGACCCCATCCCCTTTGGATTTATCCGTTCCTTCCCCTTCCACACCTTCCTTCCCCCTTCCCCCCACCCCATTTTCTTTTCTCCTCCTCCCCATTCGCGCGCGCGCGCACACACATACACACACGTGCACACACGGACACACTAGGGGAACCTGCCCAGGGACCACACGGAGCGCAGCCTGGGTGGAAGATCAGGCCAAGTCTCTCGTGAGACTGAGGTCCACTGAAGTCGCCTACGCGGACGACGCGCAGTTTGTCTCTGTGGACGACCTCCACCAGATAGTCCCTGACATCCGTCGGACCCCCACACCTAGGGAGAGCCCCCAGTGTTTGTACTTCGTTTCAGTTTAAATTAGAGCCGTGCTGACACCTGCTTGGGCCAATGACTGTCTTAAGGAGGAGAAGGCGAGCAGACAGCGATCTCAACCGCAGGGGCGTGGCCAGCTGCCGGGGATGGGGCAGAAATTCGAGCCTCCTGCGCGATGTCAGTGCTCCGCTGGCCACCGGCGGATTCCCATTTCCTGACGGGGACCAGTGCTCCAGGAGGGTGGCAGGACAGAGGAGGGACAGGCGGCCGGGGCGGCGGAGCTTCCAGGCCCCCCTGGAGGCCAGGTGCGTGGAATCTTCTCCACAGATCCCTGGAGAACCAGAGGAGACGCTGCTGCGTGAAGGGAGCGAGGGCGCGGACAACCTCCTTGGACCTCTCCCAGGTGGTGGCTGTGTCCCTCGGTGCTGTCCCAAAGGAGGAGAGAGAGGATGGGACCCATCTGACAATCCCCCCAAAGTTTATGGGGTTCTAATGGGGAGGCTTAGCATCTGGATATCTGATCCTTTACCCTGCCCAGGGCTTTCCGGGACATTTAGGGACCGTGAAGCTTTGGGTGGGAAAACGGGGATGGGGGGCGGTCAAGAGAAATAACTGAACAGCAGTTTCTTAGGAATCCGGCTTTGGAGATTGTCATGGCTTGAACTGTATCTCCCAAAAATATGAGTGTCAATTTGGCTAGGCCATGATTCCCGCTATTGTGTGGTTGTCACCCATTTTGTGATTGCAATTTTTCTATGTGTTGTAAATCTTAATCTCTGTCTGTGGTTAATGAGGCAAGATTAGATTATGTTAAAGTGGATTAGGGTGGTATTGTAACACCCTTAATAAGGTCACATTCCTGATCCAATGTAAACGGAGTTTCCCTGGAGTGTGGCCTGCATCACCTTTTATCTTACAGAAGATAAAAGGAAAGCGAAGCGAACAGAGAGTTGGAGACCTCATACCACCAAGAAAGCAGCGCTGTGAGCAGAGCATGTCCTTTGGACCTGAGGTTCCTGAGCTGAGATTTTCCCAGATCAAGGGAAGACTGATGTCAAGGACTTTCCTCCAGAGCCGACAAAGTCTTCCCCTGGAGCTGATGCCCTGAATTTGGACTTCTAGCCTACTAGACTGCGAGAAAATAAATTTCTCTTTGTTAAAGCCATCCACTTGTGGTATTTCTGTTACAGCAGCAGTAGATGACTAAGACAGAGATCAAGCTCCGTCGGGGTTTGTTTCTCTCAGACTTTGCCCTAAATCTCTGTCCCAGGCCTGCTGCTCTCCTGACCCTGCCTTTACTTGTGATGGGACCAAAAGCCACCCTTCCTGCCACTAACACCTGAAGCCTCCAACATGAGTGGGCCAGAACCTGCTTTAAAATAGCATTTCCGTACAGATTCCTGTGGATGAAGCTAATATTTGATGTTCTCATTTTCCCTCCACAACTGTCCTGTCCATTCCCATGGTGGTTAAATGTGCCTCTCTTTAATGGATAATGGGAAGAAAATCAAATAGTCTGAATTCTCTTTGACTCTCTTTCACGGATTCACCATCAACACACATGACCCATCACCCCATCTCTCACCAAGAGGTCACGCTGAGGTGCTGGGCCCTGGGCTTCTACCCTGCAGGGGATCACACTGACCTAGCAGTGGGACCGGGAGGACATGACCCAGGACACAGCTTGTGGAGACCAGTCCTTTAGGGAACGGGACCTTCCAGAAGGTGGATGGCCATGGTGGTGCCCTCTGGAGAAGGGCAGAGATTCACACGCCCTGTGCAGCGTGACGGGTTGCCAGAGCCCCTCACCCTGAGATGGCATAAAGAGGGGTACGAGGGTGGAGCCTCTTCTCAGGAAAAGCAGGGCCCTTTTGGGCACCTCCAGCAGGGTTGGGGCTGAGGCCTTAAGGTCAGAACCCCTCACCTTTCCTTCTCTTCCCAGAACTACCTCCTCAGCCCACTATCCCCATCATGGGAATCGTTGCAGCCTAGTTCTCCTCGGAGCTGTGGTAGTTGAAGCTCTGGTGGCTGGAGTTGTGATCTGGAGGAGGAAGGGCTCAGGTAGGGAAGGGGTGGGAGCTTGTGTCACCACTGCTTCATATGTGAGTCTCCACCCCAGGTGGTTGAATTGCCCATCTCCTGCCTCTGTTTCTGCTGAGTTAGAAATAATGACCCCAGACGTGCAGGATAATCTGGGAAGGGGCCTGGATGGCAGGTGGGCAGGGCCTCAGCCTGGATAAGGGCTGTCTGCATGGAGCCGGTCAGGTGGGTTAGGTGGGACAGGGGTGTGGGGCAAGGAGGATGCTGGGAAGTGGAGGCTGAAGAGCAGGCTGAGAAGCTTCAGGATGGAGACAGAGGCTGGGGTCAGGTCCCATAGTGCCAGGCAGGCCAGTCCTATGGCCATTTCAGAGTGGCAGGTGCTGGGTCTGGACCCATATTTCTCCTCATGCTCCTTAGGATTCTGAGCAGCAGGGCCAGGAGGGACCCTGACAGGAGAAGCACTAAAAGATGAGGATCGAGCCTCCTCTGTTATAGGTGGAGAATGTAGACATGAAGCTGATTTCCTGAAACCATGTCCTCTTTTAAAATTGAGGTGGAGATAATTTAATTTATTAAATTTACAAAGCCATCTATTCTATGATTTTTAATAGAGTGGATCACTCCTACAATTGGCCTAATTAGACATATATTATAACTTATAACAGAGAGTATGAAAGGGCTATGGGGTCTTTTGTTTGGGTCCAGGTTTTGATTTGTGTTTGTCAAGCTCTTTATTTTGTTGTTGTTTCATTGTATTTTGTTTTTTGTTAAAAAGAAACCTCTTTGAGAACAGGATACAAGGAAAAGATTAGTCCAAAGGACTAATAGTCCACAGCTACCAAGGCCTCCACCAGACTGAGTTCAGTACAGCTAGATGGTGCCCGGCTACCACCACTGACTGCTCTGTCCAGGATCACAACAGAGGGTTCTGGACAAAGCTGGAGAAGGATGTAGAGCATAATTCTAACTCACAAAAAAAAGACCAGATTTACTGGCCTAAAGGAGACTGGAGAAACCCCGAGAGTATGGCCCCCAGACACCCTTTTAGCTCAGTGGTGAAGTTACCTCCGAGGTTCACCGTTCAGCCTGGGAGTGGACAGCCCCATAAAACCAAATGAGACTAACGAGGTACAGGAGTCCAGTGACAAGGGCCAGAAAGCAGAAGGGGAGAAGGAAGCTGGTGATAGGGAACCCAAGGTTGAGTAAGGATATTGTTGATGTGTTGTGAGATTGTTAACCATTGTCATAGGGCAACATTTGTAGTAACTGTTAAATGTGAAACTATTTTATTCTGTAAGCCTTCATCTTAAGTGAGAATAACAGCACAACTCGAAGAGCGTAGTCAATGTCACTGAACTGTGCATCTAGAAATTTTTGAAATGGTGTATCTTTGGCTGTGTGTATTTTCACCAAAAAAAAAGAGGTTGAGAAGTTAGAGGGTTGATATGTTGTAGGGTTGTTAACCAATGTCATAAAACAACACGTGTATTACTGTTTCATGAGAAACTATTTGTTCTGTAAGCCTTCACCTGAAGTACAGTTTAAAAAAAAGGAAAGAAACCTCTTTGTAGAAAACACAAAAAAATTACAAAGAAAAAATCCACAGTCACCTACTATGACTCAGTGTATATATATGTTTTTTGCATTAAAAAGCTATATTACGCAAATAAAAATAATTCTGAAATATTAGAATTATACGGCAAATGCAGTTTTTTACATTACCTTTTCCCTGCTATTATTTCACAAGCAATTCCCATATCATGTTTTATCCTTCTAAATTGATTTTAGTGACTTCATTCTATTTCATTGAATGGAATTTAGCATAATTTATTGACCTTTTAATGTTGAATATATGTATATATAATTCCTTTTTTATATTAACACTGAGATGATCAATTATGTTTAGATTCCTTTTTGCAAATGTGTTGACCATGTATGCAGCAGTGAAATTACTAAGTGAAAGATTTTAACCATTTTTATATCTTCTGGTATACTGGTACCTTTGCCAACCTGCCTTCTACGGTAACTTTTTAGATTTGTATACAAGGGTGCCTACCTCACCCAACATAGAAACACGAATAGCCTCCTTATGTTACAAGCAAGAAAGCCAGTAAGAAGAAAGGAATAAAGGTAGATTTGCCAACTTTGTGCCATTTTTTAGACTCTGAGGTTTCTCTTGTTTTATTGTTGTTAGTTTTACTTTATTTATTTGAGACCATGTTTATACCTCTTTTAAAAAAAAGGTTAAATCCCTACCTTTTGACCAATTTCAGTTGAGATGTTTATCTTTTATAATTGATTTGTAAGCATGTATCATGTTTATCTGAAATGAAAAGATGTTTATTGTTCTGTAATAATAGCTGATTTTGTGGGAATTAATCAGAGAATATGAAAGGATGTTAAACTTTATTTTAGGGATAAAATAGAAGCTAACATGTGTTGAGCACTTACTATGTGTCATGAACTTTGCTGATGACTTTATATGCATTATTTTACCTAAATCATGAAGAGAGTAAAGTTATTAATCCTACTTACAGATGAAGAAACTGAAGCTTAGAATGGTTCATTGACTTGTCTGTGATCGGTCAGCTAGCAGGCAGCAAATATGCTGGTAAGAGCTAGTGAAATGAGTAAGACCAGACCCTGGACTCACGGAGACTCAAACCAAACCTTAACCCTCCCCATCCTCCCCTCAAGGAGACCAGGTGTACACAAGAGAGCTCTGGACCTCCAACCTAGTGCCGGAGCCACTAGACTGGGATTCTGGATTGAGGGTCGTCGAAAGAAAACATCCTGTAGTTTTCATTGATCCTGGGCCTTTCCCCTAGAGGCAGATCTTATCCTTGAAGCAGCTCCTGAGTGTCCTAAGAGAGGAGGATGTTCTCGTTATTTCAGAGACCCAGAAATATCATCTCAGGGAGCAAAGAGTCTCTAAGAGCTAAGAGCTAAGTGTCCTGATGGCTGGAGGAGACCAACAGGGGAGTCTCCTCATAAAAGTCATAAAACTCAGGGAAAGCTGTGCCTCAGAACTTTCATCAGAGGTTTGTCAAATGTGGATTATTTCCCCACTGCCTCATTCAAAGTCAGACTTCTCTCAACAGGTACTGGGGGCTCAGAACCAATAAACACCCAAGATCATGATCTCCAGCAACAATCCTTGGAGTGAAAAATAATGTCTCCGTTTTATTACAGAGGGAAGTATTCCATAGTCAGTGACTGGGGAAAGACATGTGCCGCTTTAGTGATTTGTCCTACGTCATGTTTTCTAATGGAGTCTAACACACACAAAGGTAAATGTTCCTGTTAAAAAAAAGAAAAGAAAAGAAAATTAAGTACTAAGGAGAATTCTTCAATACTTTTTGGTATTTCTGAACATAAGAAAAAGCTGGCACAGTGAATATATACAAAATAAAGCAAGAAGAGTACAAACCTAGGGCATTTTGGCATTTCAATAACATGGTGCTAACACAAAAATTTGGATAGAAAATATGACAAATATATTTTTTATCTTGCTAGCAAGTACAATAATTTACAAAGGAATTGATTCCAAGAAATATGTCTCACAAAATAAAGTGAAGGATAAAAGTATAGGTGTCATTTCAAACATCTAGAAAACTAATCCATAAAGAACTATATATTTTAAGTCAATATGTTTGCTATATGTTGATTTTAAAATTTATAACATTACTACTTTATTTCTTTTGGAATTTGAGTAGTCAGTGAATAGACCTAATATATTTGGAAGCCAGTATAAATGGCTTTTAAACTGGTTCAAGAGAAAGAGAGGTAGGAAATAGTGAAATCAAGTTTTTCTACTTTTTTAATTATAACATCAAAATCGTTATTAGAAATAACTCTGGGCAACAAAAGCTAATGTTCTGTGTGTAAATAATTGTTGATTTGTTCAACCAGAGTTTTAAATGAGGTGAT